CCCCAAAACCCCAAAACCCCAAAACCCCGAGAAGAAAACCTTAACAGGTTATTTGAATAAATAAATTTTAGGAATGTTGTAAGAATACTATAAATAATTATCAATTAATCCACTGTATCTTTTAATTAGTATTTGCTCCTATATTCTATATCACGATTCGTAATTATACATATCTACACCATCTTAATCCTCAGCCCAAGGTGTGATTAAATCATTTACATCTATCATACTTTGGTTATCTGTAAAATGCTTTTAAACTCTGATTTATTTTGGAATTCTTGTTGTAGCTTAATTAGATCTATTAACACCCTTAGGCATTGATTTAATATATCTAATAGTTTTTTGCTTATCATACTCGGGGTCCTCATCTGTATCTTCATATTCTTGTTCATCCTGCACTATTATCTCTTATTGGGGCATTGCTTAATCCTAGATGGTAGACTTTTTCTTCTCATATTTAGCCTTATTTATGCTGAACTTTCGTATTATTGCAGGAGATTGTTGCTACATAGTCTAGAAATTATTTTCAAACTCCTACTACTTTTTTATTGAGTTCTGTTTCAAAATTAAAGTTGACTTCTCTCTAGCTTCTTTCAATGCTTTTCTAAATCTATTGCTCTAGGGCTTACCTTGATCAACTTAGGTCTACAGCTATATTTAAGATAAAGATTAATCTTCATTGTTAACCATGCTTCCATTAATATTGATAAGGTTGATGCTCCCTGGATTCAGATTGTTATTAGTAAATCCAAAAAGTATCATGTTGCTCTAATTTGTTCCATTGATTCTATCATTTCTAGACGTCTTTAATACTTATTTTTGGGGTAATTCAAAGGCTTAAACCTTTTTTAATCCTATATCTGGCAATTTAAATTGGTCATAGTTCACATAGTTTGAAGTCTTGTCCACACTTGGAAATCGCTTATCATCTATAATGTATTCATTTACAGTAATAGTATTGCCCTGCATTTATTACATAGCCAGTATACTTGCTGAATTAGATTATCTGTGATGAGTGAATCAACTCTGAGTTGATGATTATTGCTAAGAATAGTAGTTCTAGGCTTGTCCTATTTCCTTAATCTGCATTAGATTGGCATCAGATAAGTATTCATGATAGTTATCAATAGTTGTTTGATTGAAATTAAGTTCCTTAACAATAGGACTAGTGTTGATGTTGTTATTATTTGGTAAATGGTGGGAAGTTTGATGAGGGTGTATAATATTACTCAAAAACTACTGAAACTGCGAATTCTATCCTCAGTTGGGTGACTTTTGTATTAATTTTGGATCAGAAGGAATGTATGACTTAATCTATGCTTTCTCATAATACTCTTTCTGTATCTACTATCAATCAAGAGCTCTCTGCTTAGTTCTGATATTCTACATCATTTCTTTACTTTGATTTGAAACAATCTCAAAATCTTTTGACTGCTTTATCTTAGACTCATCTTCAATTAATGAAACCTCATTGAATTCTCGTAATACAGATCTCATATTAGGGGATCTCATCTCTGAATCTTCTCTCAGTATTCGTTTCTAAAAGTTAAGTATCTTATCTTTGGAGAGTTTTGGTATAACGATTTGCTTTTACTTGGGCCGATAAATATCTCTAATGTCAATTAGGTTATTTTTCATTGTAATTTTAATCTATTACAGTCATTTATTTTTTTAATTACTTTATTAATAATCCATTAACTCTTCAGATAGATTGATTACGGGGTTTTGGGGTTTTGGGG